AAATGGATCCCGTGGCAGTTGAGACTCAGTGCACGCCAGTACCAAGAGGCCATGGAAGCACGTTCACATAAAGTAGCACGCACCGAAGCGCAGCTACTGACGCATGCATTCTTTGACGAAACCCCAGAAGTCAGCGTGGAGGGCAGAGCACTCACGGCTAGCTGGCTGCATCGCACTCAACAAGTGTTCCGCAACGCATTGGCCCTGTGCCAAGCCGTGCACCTGCTGAACGCCAAGGCATTGGATCAGCAAATTGCCAGCATGTGCCTCACGCAGCCAGACCCCACACTGTCCCTGCGCACAGTCACGACCTCAGAACTCTTGCATGCAGATCGCCAGATTTGGGGCACAATCGTGGACCTTCTGCATCGCAAATGGTCCATGGACGACGCCTTCCACGAACTCACGCATGGCCGCATGGAGATCCATTCGCTCCTAATGCTGCGACCTAAGATCTCCCCCGCGAAACGGGCCCAACTGAGTCCCAAGCAGCCCAAACGGCCCGCCAGCCGGCCGCAAAAATCCGAGCCGCCACACAAGAAAGGCAAAGGCAAGGGAAAAGGAAAGTCCAAAAACGCCTGGGCCACCTCGCACAATGGAAAGCCTATTTGCCGCAGGTTCCAAACAGGGACTTGCAAATCAGACAACTGCCAGTTTGCACATGTGTGCGCGATAAAAGGGTGCCAGCAGACGCATCCGGCATCCCAGCACGCATCAAACCACACATGAAACAGTCCGAAGGAAGTCCCGGCAACTTCCCCGGACGGTGCCACAGTACCGCCGGCCGCATCCACTGTGCCCCATCCCGCATGCCAACAAACACCTGCAGACGCCAGGGCATCGCATACGCCCCGGGGAGGACTATTGCTGGACGTTTTCGCAGGAGTGCATGCACCAATTTCCGCCACAGCAGACCAACGAGGCCTGGCGCGCTTCGAAGCTTTTGACCTGGACGCCAATCCTCAGCACAACATTCTGGATGACGCATGGTTTGAACTGCTTCTACGCATATGCTGGTCGGGCAGCGTTAGTTTGTTAACCCTGGCACCGCCGTGCAAGGAATACTCCCGGCTCAAGCTTAGGCCGGGCGGGCCCAAGGCGCTGCGCACGCCTTCATGCGTGCTAGGAGTGCCCAATTTGTCACCAGCAGAACTCTCTCGGGTTCGCGACAGCCGCGAAATCCACAGAAGAGGACGAGAGCTATCAAAGCAGTAGCCTCCCAAAGTGGCATAGCAATCTTCGAGCAGCCACCATCCAGCATGGCGTGGTTAGAGCCGGAAAATTTCCAGTGCTTACAAAACTTTCACGGACACCTCGCATGGGTGGATGCGTGCCAACATGGCATGCTGCTCTCCAAATCGTGGTGCTTCGCCAGCAATAATGCATGCATCCAGCACATGGCAAGCAGATGCACGCATCAACATAAGCACGCCAGCATAGCTGGAGTTCAAGGCAGCTCAGGCCAGTACCTGAGCACGCTAACAGCCGAGTACCCGGCAAGTCTGGCAGCAAGCTTGATCAAACATTGCGCATTCAAAGTGAGCACGCAACCCGAGGTCCGCCGCTTAAGCAAACCCTCCCCGCTTTCACTGCACCCCGTGCGCCTGCGGGTATGCGACGGAGCTGGCATGCATTCAACTGCAGACCACTCAATCCCTCAACCAAACCACCCGCTCACAATAGTCGCACGGGCCTGGCTACATTGGCTGGACGAACAAAAACTCATCCCAAAAATTCTGGCCCATGTGGGCTCCGGCAACGCATCCCCTCCTCTCTCAGAACAGCAATCCGAAGAGGCAGCACGGATAGCGTTCCGCGCCATGAGCATGCCGTGTCCATCCGAGCTAGCGCCCGATGAAGGACAGCCGTACCGCCTATCACTTTTGCATGCCCTGGCGACGGCATCCAGTGACCCCGACCTCAAACTAGTGCCGCTGCTGGCAGAAGGCGTGCCAACAGGGGCTGTGTCGGATTTGCCGCGCAGCATGCAGTGGCCGCCAAAGCCTCAAGCAGACCTGCCTAGTGAACTCACCGAGTGCATCGGCAACTGGAAAGCCGCTGAAGCGGAACCAGAAACAGTGTCCGCCTTGCTAGAAAAAGAAATTGCAAACGGATGGGTCATTCGTACCAGCATGTCCATCGAACAGGCCAGACAGCATTGGCATAAAGGCATAGCAGTCGGGAAGCTCAACGTCGTGCATGCTGAAGGCAAAGACCCACGACTAGTCTTAGACAGCACAGTGTGTGGGGTGAACCCCAAGTGCGCAATTCCCGAACGCATCAGCCTGCCAATGGCCTCAGACGTGCGCTTAGCCTTCCTCCCCGAGGACACGCACTCGTCCTTTGTGGGGGCAAGCTTTGATTTCAAAGCAGCGCAAGCAGATCCAAGTGCACCCCAGTGAACATGGCCTGCTTCTGTTTCGGGTTGCCGATGTCCTGTACCATTATAGAGTGTGCCACTTCGGAGCACGCTTCTCCGCATACTGGTGGCAGCGCACCGGAGCATTCCTCCTGAGACTACTGCACGGCATTTTGGGACTGCACCCGCATCGCGCATGGTTGTTCGTAGATGACCTTTTAGCAGCACTGCATCGCAGTGACGCAGACGCGCAGCTGGCCCTCATGGTCATGTTTTTTGCAGCCATATCGGCCCCGATCTCCTGGAAGAAAGTTCAATTTCAGGACAACCTCACATGGTGTGGGTGGCGCATCAATTTCCTGCACGAGACCATCGAACTCACGCCGGAAAAAACCATCAAGTTGAAAGGACAGCTGCACGAGCTGCTCAAAGCAGGGAAGGTCAAGCGAAAACTTCTAGAGCAGGTTCTAGGCCTTCTCATTTGGGCTACCAGTCTGAGCCCCGAACTCAGATCCTGGCTAGCGCCATTGTACACAGACCTGCACTCGCCGCCGGGTTGCATGCTCTCTGTCCATGCGCGTTTGGTCAGCAGTGCATGGCATTTTTATGCCGCCAGGCTCTAAAGTTCTAGAGTTCCAAGGGGCATGCATTCGCACGCCAGCCGACCTGCCTCGCGTTGTGCCTAGTCACAAATCCGCTTGGGTGCGCATAGCGGACGCCTCCGCAGAGCACACTCGCTTGTCCAGGATGAGCAAACACAGCGTAGAATGGTTGCTGCAATGCTTCCATCTAGACCTCGCATGCCCGCTGAGAAGCAAGCCAATGCTGGCTTGCAAAGCAGCCGCGGATGCATGCGCCGAAGGCAGTATAGTGGGCATAGGAGGTTGGTTCATCTCCAGCAACTCCGTTGCGTGGTTCGCAGAGACATGGCAATTCCAAGAGGTCCAGGAACAATGGCCATGCCTGACCAAAGAAGCCCAGCGTTACATCGCATGCTTCGAAACCTTGGCCCAACTAGCACTCATGCGTATCGCATGGTCCTGCGAGGGACAAGGCGTGCATGGCATTTGCATGCCCACAGGGACAGATAACACAGCTTCCGAAGCCGGTGTTAATAAATTGTTCACCACTTCTTGGCCCTTACAAGTCTTTGTGCAACTTGTTGCTGCCTGGGCCCATAAGCACAAATGGTCCGTGATCGCGTCACACATCCCAGGGGAGCACAACATCTGGGCAGACCAGCTTAGCAGAGGTAGTACCTCCGCATTCCAGGCTCGACCAGAAGCCAGAGTGCGCTTCAGGCCGCCTGATTTCTGGCCTCACGCATCAGCTCTCACGCTTCATCCTGCGGACGCACCGTGGAGACCCGAGCACGTGGCTGCATCGCAAACGCACTAAAGAGGGGGTAAGGTGATTTGACCGTTTGCTTAGAACTCTAAAGTGGGGGTATTCCGACAGGCTCCGCATGAGATGCAGGAAGATGGAGTGGACGCGCATCGTCACTCCACCTGCATCTCAGAGCCTGCACTTCTAAGCAACGCTCAAGTAAAAAAGCGCGTATCGAGTTTGCTCCGGTCGGTTGCTTTTTTCCCTGCATGTCCCTTTAGGCTTGAAGCAGTGACCAAGATTCTAACGCTAGGGGTTTGTCTTTTCCCCTGTGTTTTAATCTTGGTTGAATCTTCGGCCGCGTGGCCATTTCTGCTTCAAGCCTTTTGGTAAGGGACATGCCTGGAGGGTTTGACCCCTCTTTCGTTCTTTTTTGAACCCACCCTCCCACCCTTTCACGGCCCAGGTGGCGTCCAGCCTCCACAAGGCCTGATTGAGGGACGCATGCACCCGCACGAATGGAAGCTTGTCAGCTTCCAACATTTCGTTGGCTTACTGCATCTCGCTGCTCCCGCAGGACCATTTCGAGCATATGCAGCGAGGCCCACGCTGTGCACGCAATCGCACATTGACGAATGCCATCGGCATTCTGTCGGCCCGGACTGGCCCTCTGCAGGAGGACGCATCCTCCCAGGCACACTCATGCACGCATTGCATACATGTGCAACATACCTCTTTTTTGTCTCACACCCCATGGGTAAAACACCCTGTGTGATGGTCGAACACGCGATGTTGACCTCAGGGGGGGTATTCCGACAGGCTCCGCATGAGATGCAGGAAGATGGAGTGGACGCGCATCGTCACTCCACCTGCATCTCAGAGCCTGCACTTCTAAGCAACGCTCAAGTAAAAAAGCGCGTATCGAGTTTGCTCCGGTCGGTTGCTTTTTTCCCTGCATGTCCCTTTAGGCTTGAAGCAGTGACCAAGATTCTAACTGCAGTGTTTGGTGTTGAGAGGCGCGTGGGCAATTTGCGCCTGTTGAGCAGTACGTTTTGTTTTGTTTGCATTATGCTTCTTCCAAACTGCATTACCAGCGCGTTGTCTGTGGGATCTTTCCCCCCGCCCCCCCACCGTCTCTATGAGGCTGTGGCTCAAATAAATGTACCAACATTGCCCCCTTGGTAAATGGAACCAACGACTAGAACCTGCGTAACCCCAGCTTCTTCATTTTGAGCCACAGCCTTTGTACCCCCCACCCGTCTCTGTAGGGAGGTGCCTTGATGCTCCAGCCCCTTGGTTCGCGGGCGCGCCTGCGTGGCTCAGCAAAGAGCGAAGGGCTGGACCGATCTTCGCACAGGCGGGGCGGGGGCAGATCATTGTCAGACGGCCTCGGGACGATCAAAAGGCGCAACTGAACTGAAGGAATGCCAGCTGAGTCACTTGGGTGTCCTTTTAAGCGAGCCCTTTTGGAGTGGTTAAAAGGGGAAGCGCCCAAGGAACAACCACCATTTGAGTCGCAACCAAAACCAGGGCAAGAGAAGGTCAGTAAGGGACGATCCCAACCAGAAATAGCTGCGGCCGCCTTCTTAGTGCTTTACATGGTTCGGGGTCTACCATTTTTGTACCGTGTTTTGATTATGGCTCAGGTGTCCCTTCCCGCATCAGTGTGCATGCCAATCTACGCGGTATGTAGAGGTCATCTACTAGGAAGGGGGATCAATTTCGAACTCCATTTGTGGCTCAAGTTCAAGCACATGCACTGTACTCAGGGTGGGTTCACGATTGTTTTTTGGTTGGCTTAGGCTGGTTTAGGGTTAGTTTTGGGTTGGTCCAGGGTGGGTTTAGGGCTTAGGGTTCAGGGTTGGATCATGGTGGTCTAGGGCTGGTTTAGGTTTGACTCACTTCCGCATTCAAAAATGAGCCGCGACACGCGTTCAAAAAAGAGATGCTTCCCCATGTGCCACTACAGAGAAGTTAGGGCCGTTTCTATGTGCAGACGTAGCGTAACTTTGCGACTCATCGATTCTTTGCAGGAGGCTGTTTGCTGCCCTTCACTCCATGAACTTCCCAGCTCTTTTGGTTCATGCGCCCTGGGCCATGAGTCAATGAGGCCAGGCCTTTGAAACGGCCTGCGTGGTTTGCAAACACCATGGCTCCCCCAACAGTGTAGAAACCTCTTGGAACCGCCCGGCCCAACTTGAGTTCCTCAAAAAAATTGGTCAATTCCAACTTCATCCTCCACGAGCGCTTCGATTTCCTTGGCACCGGCATAAGAGATCCCAAGTCCCCAAAAAACATGGCCGGCCCCGGAGCGGGGTGCAATTGCAACATCTAGGTTCCTCAGTAGTGCCCTTTCTCACCCCTTTTTTGGGCGAGGGTTTCCCCACTAAAATAGGCTCAAGAAAACAGTTGGTACCCTTATTCTAACCTCTCTACTGGAGGACCTAGTGGTGTGACTGGGCTTTGGTCATCTCCCATTTGCTCAAGAATATGGTGTATTTCCCTTGTTGGCTTTAACAGGGATTTATCACTACTGGACATGCTTTCGCCATCGCCATCGCCAGGCCATGGCGGCCTTCATCGCCCCGGCGCGAACATTGCGGCCAACAGCGCGGCCGAGCTGGGCCGGTGCCGCGCCGCAGGTGCGCTCGGCCAGGCCTGGAGCTTTGAGCCCAATTCATCGGAGCCTAGGGTAGATACTGTGGATGGGCAACAGTGTGACCCAAGAAACCCCAAGTTGGTTCGATTTCCCCAAAACAAGCACCAACCAAAACAATGGTGTCCCATGGTTTTCAAGTGGTGCGAACGCAGTTCGTCCATCCACATGGTGGAATCTAGGCATGTGAGTCCACAAGGCCCCAGGCATCTACAGAAAACGGGCTGATGTGCTCAGGGTTTATGGCGACGGATCCGGGGGGAAAACGGGCATGGTTTTACTTGGGGATCCCCTTTTTCAGGTGTTGGACATATGGTCAAAAAGATGCATATGAATTGACTGAGTGACGAAGACCTGCACAAAATCTAGCCAGCCCAACTGGAGATCAACCAGCTTATCCAAGATGTGTTGTGCCTTACGTGGGTTTCCTGATGTCCGGTCTGTATGATTTGCCCAGAGAGGCTGCATGCGGACGTGAGCACGTACCGCGCCCCTCTGGCACTCGGCGTAGCTGCAGCGCTTCTGAAAAGAAATGTACGAGGCGGGCAGGGGGAGTTGTCCTGAGGTATTTGTATACCTTTTTATGGTATGGTATCTTGAGCATGATCTATATGGGGGGGGGTCAAGAGATGAGGCATGGAAGTGATTTACATGTCCGTAAAATTTGACTTTCCTGTTGTGAGGTTGGCCAATCCCAAGCTGTCTGCCCCGCCTATTGGTCTACGGTATGATGTTTTTGTTTTTCTCCACGGAGGTGGCGGTTTCCGAGGAGCCGCCGAAGGCCCGGGAAAGACCTCAGTAGCCCAGGTTTTGGTAGACTTGGCTAAGTCACTTGCTGAAAACCGATCCGAGAAACTGGAGGGTTAGGGTTTATCCCCTGACATTCTTTAGTTGGTGCGAACAAGAAGCCTTTTCAAGTCTTGAAGCATGGTACTGGGCTTGGACCATTTTAAGACCGGGGAGTTAATTATGACTCAGTTGCAACCAAAGCGAACTCGGCCCAGACCGATCTTTCGGTTTTCACGGAAATCAAAACCCGAAGATCCCACAGCAAAGGTTCGGCAGGAATCTCGCAGAGGGTTCTTGATCAAAGGGTTCTCATCGACGAAGAACAGGGAATATCGAGGGAAGCAGCCGATCTCACGTGCAAAGGCGATGTTGGACAAGCTTGCCCAAAGGACCCGGAAATACTTTTGTGTGAAAGTGGACCAATGGGAGAAACACCTCTATCAAATCCCTTAGTGATCCAAGGGCCCTTCGACGCAGTTCCTGGATGTGAGACTTTTTGGAGAGACAATTTGTGAGGCCGCATTTTGTTTCTACCGACCTGCTTTGGAGTAAAGTGATTTGCGACGGGCGCTGAATGTCCATGGCAAAACCCGCGCGCGAAAGCCGCGCTCGAAAGCCGCGCCTCTCGTCCAGGACGGCAGCGGATTCCAAGGCGGAGCCTCTCGTCAGAGACGGATCCAGGGCCGTCTGTCAAAAAGGGGTTTGGTCAGACTCTCCAGACTTCCTGTTAAAATCAAGCACGAAAAGGCGGTTCCCAGCCATTCCCGGAAAGGGTTTTAGGTTTGTAGGGTTTCGTGGGTGGGGTTCCATGCCACTAGAAAGAAAACTGTTAGGGGATCTGAAAACGACAGCCCAGACAAAAAGGGTGTTCAGCTGGAAGCTTTGGGCTCGATAGTGCCGGGATGCGATGCCTCGTTTTTTTTTGCCACCTGTGGTTGCGCAGGGCTCCCCCTTGATTCCGGTTTTCTGTCCACTCAGCAGGTTAGATTTGAGTCAACTCAGCAGGTTCATGTTGCCCCGCGGACGAGAGATGGTCACAAGCAGGCCGAAACATGCTGCTTTGACGGGAGTTTAGCCCCCAAACAGCTACATCAGAATCTTATCCACTCCGGTTGCGGGGACAGGTCCTGGGGAAAGCTTTTGATCGATGGGCAAACTTGGGCGGGTTCCCTTTGGTGGGGTGATGCTTCACTTGGAGAATAAAAGGACACCTTTGAATAGACCCAAGACACAGCGAATCCGGCTACTTGGGCTGTTCAAAGGCAATATATTTCGAGGTCCCGTAGTGGTTTTCCAACGTAAAGACCCGCCAGCCTTGCGTACAGGGGTTGGGCGAGTGTCCAAGAAAGCAAGCTCCGATTTTGTCGCGGTGGCTCTCCCAAATCAAATTTCGGCAATTCAGATTTCGCCCCTCCAAAATCCGAAGCCTCGGATGTTAAAAGACAGGCGTCCAGTACCCTCTAAGAAAGGCATGTTCATTGAAGCAGTCTCGGGAAAAACTGACGCGTCCGCATGCGCGATAGCAGGGTGCTTTCGTTCCCCAACAGCTGAAAGCTCTCTGGGGTCTCAGCCCAGATAAGGTTTTAGGGGGCTCGGGGAAGCTCCGCATTCAGGTTCGAGCAAGGTTCCGGAGGTTCTGTGGTCTGGCGCAGGGCGAAAGGTTGAGGGGAGGTTCTGGGCGAGGCCAGGCGTAAGGCTCAAGCTGGTGTGCAAAGTTCAGGCAAGGTTCTGGAGGTTCTGGGCGACAATGTGAAAGGCTTAAGTGCAGGCCAGGTGTAAGGTTCAAGGCAGGTTCTGGAGGTGCTTTGGTAGGCCAGGTGTCAGGTTCGAGGAAGGTTCCAGAGGTCCGGGTGTGACCAAGGTGTAAGGTTCAAGCAAGGTTTCGGGATGGCAGCTTTGGAGTCAGGCGCGGTGCGCAAGCAAGGTTCCGCAGGTTCTAAGGTAAGCTTTTGCAGGGTTCGTTGGGTATATTTTGTATTTCTAAGATGGTTTTCACTCCACTCTCCCAAACCACAACTAGATCTTAGAGGTCAAATGGTTTAAAACCGTACCACAGCCACTACGCAAAAGGTATAGCCCCATTTTTCGCTGGCGCCAGGTGCAAACCCAGATCCTTGGATAACAAAGCAAAGAAAGGGGATGTACGATAGCCATCAACATTCATTAGGACACCCCAGGACACAAAGCATGTTTTTGTTGACTCTTAAGTTTCCTACCAGCTTTGTGGTTTGGATTTGGATTGGTGTTTCTTTGGTGAGGGGGATGTTTGGGGCGGTTTCCCATTTGCCCTCAACAAGAACGAGTTCAAATCCCAGCCATCCAAGCCACCGACTCGGGGCTACGTCATGCTCCAAGCCACCGACCCGAGGCGTCGAGACGCCCAGCTACAGCACACCCAAAGACGCCAAGGACTGAGAGGCTTTTGAGTTGCCCGCTGCCCCAAGCGAGGTATTTTCGGACCCAAGTCACCTGGAACAGGGTTGCGAGAAGAAGCTTTTTCAGGATAGCTAGCTTGTTGGATACCAAGAACCAGATGAGGAATTCGTCAGTGTGGCCTAGCGGGTCCGTATCCAAATTTGGGGAGGCCTCATTTCAAGGCCTTATCACAGAGTCAAGTCGCAGAGGTTTCGATGAGGCCACCTGCCCAACTGAAAGGCTTGCATTGGGATCCATTGCAGTGAAGACGCAGACAGACGACATTCAACATAAGCAAGCAAACCAAGGAACCAAGCAAGCAAGCAAGCAAGCAAGCAAGCAAGCAAGCAAGCAAGCAAGCAAGCAAGCAAGCAAGCAAGCAAGCAAGCAGCAACCGACCAACCAACCAAGCAGTGTCACAAAGTGCGGTACCTTGGGTTGCCAGGAGGCCATGATTTTTGCCAAGAAGCTGGCGGAGGCTTTTGCTACTGGTGCCTTGGTGTGGTGGGGTGGTTGGGGTGGGGGTTGGGGTTGGGGTTGGGGTTGGGGTTGGGGTTGGGGTGGAGTGGGGTTGAAGGTTACCTACTATAGTTTTTGTTTCGACGTTGCGTCAATCTCTGCACCAGCGCTGCAGGACATCAAAGCAACAGTGGGTAATGTTTAATGTTAACCCTGGAAGGTCCTCCGGAAAAGAAAACCTGATAGAAGCCACGAATCCGAATGCAGACACGAAAGCGGACTCTTGTGACATCTTTCGTCGCGACTCTAGTCACGTTTCTATAGTCACGTCTCTGGTCACTTCTCTAGTCACGCCTTTGGTCACGTCATTTGTCATGTCTGTCGTAGCAACTCTGGCCACGTCTCTCGTCATGACTTTCGTCAAACCTTTCATCATGTGTCTCGCCGCGCCTCTCGTCACGACTCTGTCACGTCTCCCATCACGTCTTTCTTGGCGACTCCCGTCACGTCTCTTGTCATGTGAGTCGTCACCCCTCGAGTCGCGTCTCCGGTCTTTCATCACGTGTCTCGCCGCGCCTGTCCTCGCGACTCCGTCGCGTTTCCCGCCGCGTCTTTCTTGGCGACTCTCGTCACGTCTCTTGTCACGCATGAGTCGTCGGCCCTCCCGTCACGTCTCTTGTCACATCTCTCGTCACGTCTCTTATGACATTTATCGCCACGTAGAGTATCTGGCTATTCCTCTTGTTTGTGTAGTCACGTCTCTGGTGGCATCTCAAGTCACGTCTCTGGTCATGCCCATTGTCAGGTTTCTCGCAACCGCGTCTCTTGTCACGTTCTCTGTCACGTCTTTGGTCACGACCTTTGTCGCGTCTCACGTAATCACGCTTTTGGTCACGTCCCGTGGCAGGTCTCTGAATAGCAACTCTGGCCACGTCTCTCGTCATGACCTTCGTCACATCTTTCATCATCACATCTTTCATCACGTGTCTCGAGGCGCCTCTCGTCGCGACTACGGTCTTTCTTGGAGACGTCTCCTGTCACGTGCGCCTTCGCCCCTCGCATCACGTCTCTTGTCACGTCTCTGGTCACGACCCTCGCCACGTCTTGTCATATTGGCCGTCCCGTCTCTGGCAACCGTCCCGATCCTCGTCACGTCTCTTGTCGCATCTCTCGTCACGTCTCTGGTCACGCCTTATCTCGCGTCTCGTCGCGACTCTCCTCGCACGTCCCTTGTCACATCCATCACATCCATCGCCACGCCTCTGGTCACGTCTTTGGTCACGCCCTTTGTCACGTCTGTCGCAACAACTCTGGCCACGTCTCTCGTCATGACTTTCATCTTATCTTTCATCACGTGTCTCGACGCGCCTCTCGTCACGACTGCGCAGCATGTCCCGTCGCGTCTTTCTTGGAGATCCTGTCGCGTGCGTCGTCACCCCTCGTGTCAGGTTTCTGGTCACGTCTCTTGTCACGACCCTCGTCACGTCTCTTCTCAAACGTCTCTTGTCATATTTGCCATCCCGTCTCTGGTAACCTCTCGCGTCACGATCCTCGTCACGCATCTTGTCGCATCTCTCGTCACGTCTCTCGTCACGGCTCTCCTCTTCTCACATCCATCGTCACACCTTTGGTCACGTCCTTTGTCACGTCTGTCGTAACAACTCTGCTCCCGTCTCTCGTCATCACTTTCAACGCATCTTTCATCATGTGTCTCGACGCGCCTCACGTCACGACTCCGTCACATCTCCCGTCCTGCCTTTCATGGTCTTTCTCATGTCTCTAGCCACGACCCTACTCGCGTTTCGTGTCACACCCCTCGTCACGTGTTTCGTCACGACTTCGCGATCTCAAAAAGTGCTCCGCGCCCAGCGACGCAGAGGGTTCACTGTGCGATCTCAAAATGCGCACCGCGCCACAGTGAGATCGATTCGACCCACCCAAAGTGCGCAGAGGGTTCACTTTGCGATCTCAAAATGCGCACCGCGCCACGGCGAGAGCGACCCGACTCGCCGAAAGTGCGCAGAGGGTTCACTTTGCAATCTCAAAATGTGACCAGCGCCACAGCGAGAGCGATTCGACCCACCCAAAGCGCGCAGAGGGCTCACCTTGCGTGCTGAAAATGTGCACCGCGCCACAGCGAGAGCAATTTAACCCACTCAAAGCGCGCAGAGGGTTCACTTTGCAATCTCCAAATGTGCACCGCGCCACAGCGAGAGCGACTCGACCCAAGTGCTGCGCCTGCCACGGAATCTGCACGCAAACTGGAAAGGGCTGCGCCTGCCACGAAATCTGCACGAAAAGCTGTAAAGTGGTGCGCCTGCCGCGAAATCTGCACGAAAAGCTCTAAAGTTCTGCGCCTGTCACGAAAAATCACGTTACAACACTCAAAATGTTGCGCCTGCCGCGAAATCAGAATTTGACACTCTCGCATCGCACGCGGAAAAGCTGGCGCGGGACTGTAGCGCCAGAATGATTTCGACCAACTTTGACATGCTTCAATCCCGCCAAAAGGAGCCGATTGTACGACAGGGCCAACGAAAACGGCGCCGGCGCACACACTATCACGCGCCTGCCAAGCAGGACACCTCAAAACGGCCGAGAACACGCAGCCTTCCAAAACACTGCGCCTGCGCAGCGGAACGACGCGTTGAGCTTGAGAAGCTACGATTCCCGCACAGGGGCACGAAAAATGACACGCTTCAAGTCATCTAAATGGCACGTTTTCGCTTTCCCCACTGGAGCTGCTCGCGGACAGATGCGAACGCTTGCGGAGGCTGAGTCGCCCTGAGCCCTATGGTCAAATCACCTCCGAGGTTTGGAGCGATTCTGTTTTGTTTCACAAATGGCGGGTGTCCTTGGCTTCTCGACGGCGTAGTTGCTCAGCTCCAAGCCCTGGGGACGTAAATCAACGACTTCTGGTCATGTCCTAACCCCCTTTAAACAACCCTTCTGGTAGTTTCCTGGCTTGACTGGATATTCGGGAATCGTTCCACTTATTGATGCAAAAGCCTAGAACTTCCAAAAAATCAACAAAGGCAATTCGCACGGCGATTAAAGCAAGCTGCGGGTGTCAACGACCGCAAGTTTGTCAATCCACGCAACGGCGATCCAAAGATGTGAAAAGTCCGCAAACCCCCACAAATGACATCATAAAAAAGGGTAGTTGATTTTGCACAAAATTTGTACGTGGTTATGTTCAAATCCTAGCTGAACCACTGAAATTCGGAAAATCGTAGGGGTCTCCGACTCCAACACCCAGGCAAAACAAAACCGGAGTTGGAAGGCCCAGGACTTCGGAAAAAGTCGGGAGGGCCGTCCGAATCAGTTCTTCCCTTTTTAGCTTAGAACATCATTCTATATAAGGGGATCCTCCAACAAGTAGGGTCTTCCGCATTCATCCGAAGTCGACATGTCGAAACAAGGAGTTGGCCCATCCCTGCTTCAATGCCAATGGCTCTTTTTCTCCCGGTATCTTCTTTAATTGGTGAGCCAACAACACGTGTTGCACGCGTGTTTCCTTTTTCCAATGGCCAATGAGCAAGGTTGCCGGTTTGGATTGCAAGATTGATTTCCTATTCAGCCTCAATATGACATAAACAAGGGTGTCCTTTTGGCTGCAATTCAGCTCAGGGGCTGCCTTTGACTCATCGGCAGGAGAGGAATCCAAGGACCCACTCCGTGCGCCGATGTTCGCCTTTGGGAACACGGCATGTTTTTTCAGCGCTCGTGGCTTCCACAAGGGTTAACCTCTTATTTGTATTATAGCTTCTAGGTCCCCAGTAGTGCCCGTTTACCAACTTTTTTTGGGGAGGGTTCCCCTACTAAAATAGACCACAGAACAAAGTGGTACCCTTATTCTAACCGACCTAGTAGATGAAGAAAGGAGAAACCAAGAGGACCACCGCCTTTGCTTGGGAGGGCCCAGGTCCCTATACTGAGGAGATGCCTCGCTGCCCCTCGAGGACACCATAGGCCTTTTGAAGGACTCCATCAAGTCTCTCTGGCGTCAAGCGTTTTTTTGGGGTGCCTGGGGGGTGCTGGGGGGGGTGCCGGGGGGGTGCTGGGGGGTGGCGGGGGGTGCCGGGGAAGGGGGGTCAAAGTGAACCAACCCAAATGGACATCCAATGGCTTCTGTGGCATCGAACTGGGACTCCGACAGGAAAGTGCATGCAGCCTTTCGGCCTTTTGAAGTCAACCAACCTGGAAAGGGCAAAACAAAGACCCACATTAATGCTGAAGCAACCTCTCTCCTAGGTTTCAAAGGAGCTAGGTCCCGACATTTCCCCTTTGGGGCAATTGACTTTTGTTGAGCGTGCTTATGTGTTGGTTTTGATCGAGTCTCAATATCAATATCTTTTAAAGGGGGGTCAAGTTGAGGCGGTGATCGAATCTACCTTGGTGCGCGTGAGTTTGAACATTGGGTGGCGCCGAGGTTGCAGTGTTGACTCAGTTTGCGTGGGGGGAGACGAGATACTACTTCAAACATCACTCTTGTACGTACTTTGGTAGGGTGAGATTGCGTTGTTAACTGAGGTTACAGTGGCTGGGATGTGCGAGTAGTCACGATGCTTCTGGTCCTCGAACTAGATTATGCCAATGTGTTCATTAAATGTTCGGCGCATCATGATCATGTCTTCCTGCTGCATAGGGTAACAGTCACACGCGAGGTGCGTATGCTGGCATGCGGCAGGCTCGTAGCCAAAGTTTCTCAATTGCAAAGCTTGCTGGTTCGAAGTTCGCGGCAGGTAATCACCAATGGCTTTGGGACTGAACTGGAGGGGGTCCCCAAAAGGAGAGTTTCACGTGTGCCCAACGCCCTTTTGGGATGCCCCCAAACAAAGGCCGCAGTCAAGCCAACTGAACCCAAGCGAAGCCTTGGTCAAGGCGCAGGTTTCTCTTTTGTTTTCCTTTGGCGCTGGCAAGCCATTGTACCTTAGTGGATGTGACAAATTTTGTTTGCACCAGGTGGGCTTGTCCCTGCGAGTCCTGAGGTTCCTGCATAGCGAGCCAACTCTGGTGCGTATTGAGGCCGGGGATGTTGTGTTTGCTTGAGTTGCCTTCCGGTTCCGGCTCGAAACAATGGCTTGGTGGGTGTAACGCGAATGATTGAGGCCCCTGACTGGAGATAACGTATTAGCTTGGAGAACTGAGTGCACTTCCAGTCTGCAGATTAACATGCCACCTGCAAAACCCACCCATTTCTAAAGGACACTTCCTTTGGGACATGGACCCCTTGTTGAATTTCCTTCCGTGAATTCTTTCCGTGCGCGCGTCAGCGGCCTTTTTTTGGACAACGGCCAATCCACTGCCAGGTGCCTGCGGGGGGACATTTGAACGTGGTGGGGGACGTGCACGGCCAGCTCTGGGACTTCCTCAGCCCTTGGGATTGTTCGAGATGACGCCTTCGCAGGTCGATCCCTCAAAATGAAGACATGTGCTATTCGACTTTGGTGAACTCAATTGAGTTATTGGATTCTGGCAATGTCCTAAGACTCATTTCATCAGATGCTCAACCGGTTTGAGTTTCAGGAATTCCCAGACAGATGCTTGTGGGCGTGGTTTGGATTGCAACACATGTGACAAAAGATCGAGCATTTACAGGGGCATGGATTTCTTTTTAAAGTCAAGCAACACGCAAGTCACGCAAGTGTTTTTTTTTTCAGGATGCCATCCACTGGGTCTAGCTTAACGTGTCCTTATGTCTTCCGGTGGGGTTTCCTTGGACGGATGATTTGGCCCACAGGTCAGTTTTTGAGCAGAAATCTCGGGACCTTCGTGAGGGTTTCCTCCATTTCCCTTTCTGGAACTTCCAAAGGCTGCCTAGGTCCCCCAGTAGTACAGTAGTGCCCTTTTGCCCTTTTTGGAGGAGGGTTCCCCTACTAAAGTAGACTACAGAAAGAAGTTGGTACCCTTATTCTAATCTCTCTACTGGAGGACCTAGTTGCACGTTCGACGGAAATCACCAGCCAATTCATGAGCTCTTGATCTGTGGAATCCAGCTCCCCCTGGCTCGAGGCATCTTCGAGGAGAATGGCTGGCCCAGCGAGGAGAACCCCTACCTCTTCAACGGGGACTTTGTAGACCGAGGGTCCGGACACCCAGGGAAACGGATCGTCAACGTTACAGAAAACTGGTGCTCTCCTGCTTGAGTTTGGAACCCGACGAAAAAAACCGGTCCACCCAATTTTTGTTTGATCACTTTCCTTTCTCGGGTCCCATGTCAGAGTTTGTGGGGGAGTTGTTATTTTTTTCCTTTTTGCTTTTGGTGATCCACTGGACCCGTCGTTGCAAATGTGTTCCTTTGGGCATTTAGCAAATGGCCACTTCAAGCTCCCGCGCCTTCCCGTGCCTGTTACCAAAGCCTCTTTGCCACATGGTTCGTGGTTTTCAGCCGGGCTAAATAATCAGGAACATGCTTGTTTCCCATGGTCATGGCTTACCTTAGTTTTGGGGTACCCCAACCCCCCCCGCGCACCCCCACACCCCCCCCCCCCCCATGCTATTATATGGACACAAAGACTCCCCGAAAACCCCGAAACCGAAACCCCCAAGACCGAGCCCCTCAACCCCCTCAAACTTCCTCAATCCACTTTAGTTTTGGCCTACTCCGATGCTTTTGTTTTTGCCCAGGGGCGCCTTTTTCGCCGGAAGCCCTGATGCATTTTGCGATGGAACGGGACCCGTCCCGTTTCGCGTTTCGTTGCTTCTTGAAGGGTGCGCGGGCTTCGGGGCGAAAGCTTGTTGCGCCCTCTGGGGCGAAACAACCCGTGTTGCGTGGTCCGAACATAACTTGTCTCATGCCTATGCAGAGATTTCCGAGATGTTCCACTTGGGAATTTCCCACAAATGGTTGAGGAATCAGGATGCTTGATACACTTTTTCGTTATTTCCAGTGAAATCGTTGAGGAAGATCGTATTCTGAGCAAAAGAGCCCTGCGAGTTGTTCAGTGGCACCCTGAACAGCTTGTTGCTTTGGCTGGTTCCTTATGAAAAAGACAAGTGTTGCTTTTTCAGCTATCGTTCAAGGGTGTTTCTCAAACATGCCTTTTGAAAGGGGGAGGGGGTGGGGACTCCAATCGTTTTCATTCTAGTCTTCCCTACAAAGGAAAACTATGTCCCCCAGTAGTGCCCTTTTACCCTTTTTTTGGTGGAGGGTTCCTCTACTAAAATAGAGTACGGAAAAAATGATACCCTTATTTTAACCTCTCATCGAGACCTCCTTGCGCAGGGCTCCTTAAAAGATCTCCATTTTGCAACCATGTGAGGCATGTCTTTGTCCACCAAAATATAGTTGGAAACCCACCATTTACAAGTTGCAATGTTCAGGTGTATAATGTAAGGATCCCTGTTAACTGGGTCCCAGCTCGGTGCCCTTTGACCGTTTCTTTTTTGGTTGGGAGGGTTCTGGGTTTCTCTACTAAAATAAACTACAGAAAAAAGTTGGGGGTCGCTGGTAGGTCCTACTCAGTAGAGATCATGCTGGTGCTGATCGCTTTTAAGCTGGCGCTGCCCCGGCACTTCTTCCTCTCGCGGGGCAACCACGAGGCCAAGCGCGCGGTTTTCGGGGCGTGCCCCTCAAAGGTCCCTGCAAAGGTTTTTTTTTTGGGTTTTTTTTTTTTTTTTGGTTTGTTGTGTTTGGTTTGTTGGTTTTTTTGGCACTTGCTGCCATGGTGTGTTTTTTTGGGTCATCGGGCATTTGGGCCTTTGAGGGGTTTGGATCGGAGGGAGTGAAATCCCTGGTTTTGATCACGTTTGTCAGCTGTTGTGCCCCAGAGCATGGCATTGTTTACATGTCTGCGCGCTCACCCAGACAGACATGTGTTTTTTGACGGGGTGGGGTCATATACTCGCTGAATTCCATTGCCATGGGACAAGGCAATGAATGTTGACCGTGGCTCATGCGCAGGCCGAGAGCATGAATCACAGCTACGGTTTCACCGGCGAGGTCTTAACCAAGTGAGCCACGATCAAAACCTGGGTAGGAGAAGGGTAGGGGCCAATCCCAACCAAGCACACTCCATGGGACAAGGCAATGAATGTTGACCGTGGCTCATGTGCAGGACGAGAGCATGAATCACAGCTACGGTTTCACCGGCGAGGTCTTGACCAAGTGAGCCACGATCAAAACCTGGGTAGGAGAAGGGTAGGGGCCAATCCCAACCAAGCACACTTGCGCATATGTCAGCCCTGCTGCATTTTGTTTTTTTACGCAGGGTTTCGGGTGGTCTCCTCTCTTACCAAATTATGACGCAATTGAATTGCTTCAGAGTGACTGAGCCAGACAGACATGCCCACGGGATACTAGCTTTTCGTGTTTAATGTTTGTCCTCCTGGTGTTGCCCCCCTGTCAAACAGCAACTGCTTTGCGGGTCCAAGCCTGGCTTGATGCACGAATAGGTCTAGAAAATTCCGTGCGCCCTCCCAGCAAACGTGGAAGCCAGGACGCCGCATCGTTCTTTTAGGGTATGGGTCAAAATTAAACCACCAGGGGACCGCAGGTGTCAGTTCATTTTTCATCTACCAGGATTCTACTTTGGTTACCTATTTTTGACCCACATCCAGGTGTTCCAGTCAGGTTCCATGGCTACAATTTGGGGGAGCTCAGGTTCGCCATGTTTGGCCAGATGGTCAACTCAGGTCAGTGCCAGGGGTCGATCCGGGCAAGTTACGACCGATCCAAGGTGTTGCTTTCGAAGCTCGTGACTTCCTTCTACATTTTCAGGTTCACTAAATATTTCGGTCAGAATCCAAACATGGCCATTTGTAGTTTTGTAGTTGAGGCACTCTCATGACTTCCATTTTTTTTTAATGGATTTAGGGCTGTGATATGCCAGTGGCACGCCCTTAACATTGTAGGACTTCGGTTAGCGTTTGACCTGTTCGCCTGTTCCGTTCATCCAACCAGCCAAAAGTTCAGGTCGAATGGACCCTCCGCATCCCTTCCCCGAATCCGAATGCTTGGCCTGGGAAAGCCATCGGAGGTACGACACGGACCTGCAGGTCTTCCAGATCTTTCAACTCCTTTTCGTGTGGCTCGGACTGCTGTTGGCTAAGGACACCAGGAAGGATTTCTTGCCTGTAAGGTCACCAAAAAGCCAAGTTTCGTCAATTTGAACATGCTTCAACAAGGGGGGTGGCCTCACCAAGAAGCCCAGTTCAAAATTCGTCAATTTGAAGATGCTTCAAGGGGGGTGGCCCAACCCTTTGTCCCCTCTTCCTTTCAGTGATGGAATTGATACTTGCTTCTTCTTTTCGGAAGATCATCCGACCCCCCTGCAGATTGACATGGAGCCCACAAAGAGGTCCCCCAAGAGGAGATTCCTCTACAACCGCTTTTTTGGTGGTTCCATGTAAATCTGCAGCAGTGAAAGTTAATATAGAGTCGCAAGCGGGAAATGGGAAGTTCAATTTGAAGTTTCGAACGCCTTCCCACTCGCAGGTGTTAGTTTGAAGGGTAAAAGCAGAAGCCTTCACCGGCCGATTTAGAGGATCTCATGCAAGGCAGGTGGTTTTGGTTCATGATCTCTGCTTTTGCTGGTTCCAGAAACCAGCAGGAAGCTGGTGGTTTTGATTCGGATGTTTCGCTACCCGGAACATTTCATGAGCCCAAGACCCGAAATATGAGGGCCTCAAGGGCCCCCAAGAACCTTAACTATGATTGTGAGGTTGTGGTATTGGAATCCGGTACTGCTTACGCCGTGCCGTGGAGACCACAACAAGTCCGGCTAAACATCATCTTAGGGGCCCAACAATTGCTTTGAGCACTTCTTTGTAGCGCGCGTCACTCAACGGTTCCCCCCCCCCCCCCGCCCCCCGGCCCGCCCCCTCCGCACCGCAGGTGCCTGCCCTTGTCCCACGTGGTGAACTCGGAGGTCTTCATCACCCACGGGGGGCTCCCCAGGGAGGAGGCCTCCCTTGAGGAGATCGCCAGCCTGGATCGGCTCAAGGACCCGAGTCGATCTGAGCGAGCCGAGTGCTCACAGCCCGGGGGGAGGACTTCATGCGGTTTTGGGCTTGGACCATTTCTGGGGTGGACTTAGGATACATTTTATATTTTACCAGTGACTCAAATTGAAGCAAACACTAGAATATACATTCTATAACTGGGCCTCTCTATTCATGATTTTGGTAAATTCAAACGGTTTGGTACCTTTTGGGGCTCGGACTTCCAAAAAAGGTAACCAACCTTGTTGAATTTGCCAAAATGGTCCAAGCCCAAACAGCCCAAGAAGCATAAAGTCCATTTGAGTGGTAAAGAAGAAGTGGTTACTTGTTTTGGCAAGTCCGAGCCCAGAAAGCAGACAGTTTCTCACCACTCAGACAGTGGGAAGACCATTTTAGTGGTTTTTCAAGTTCGGACTTGTTCTGGTCTATTTGGGAGATCAACCTTTTTACTGTAGCTTTTCGGTGTTCTCTTGGTCCACTAAGGTCACCGTCACTTTTAGGTGACTAACCGGAGGCATTTTTCTGAGTCCCTAAGGGGCAACTGATTAGAGAAGACCGCAGGTCCACGGTCCCCACTCGAAGGGGTCTCCAAGGAAGTCGTTTGTGTGTTGTCCGTTTTGAGGCAGCCAAATCGGAAGCAAGTGAGTACATGCCATTTATTATCTCACATCCGGAGGTCATGGACTTGAATCTTCTTGGAACAACCAATTTAGTGGTAAATATCAAGTTTGGACTCTTTCTGGCCAATCCACTGAGGAAGTGAGCTTTACCACGTGCTCAGTTGGGCCAAGACTCCTGACCCGAAAAAAGAACTCACCAGGTGAGCTCCTGGACCCTTAGTGGACCGCGTTCTTAGTTTGTGTATTTTCAGCTGTCCACGTAATTTTATACCCTATGGGTTTTCCTTGCTGGAGGCAAGGAACCCATATGGAGGTAAGTGGCAAAGGAGATTCCCACCATCTCCAGCTGAAGACTGGATGTAAAAATCCGTGACGAGGTTCACTCTTCCAACTGTATTCTGACCCCGTTTTTGGCAATACATCTGAAACATTTTGTTTGGTTGTCCCTTGCTCATTGTAGAAGATCAGTCAAACATTGGGGACCCGCAGAATCTCAGCTTGCTTCCCCCTAATTGGCGGTTTGGATTGGTGGTTTGGGATTTGACCCCCAGTTTCCTTTGAAACCAAATGGGGAAGGACGCCCCTAACGTCCAAACCACCAAACCAAGCCGCCAATTAACATGGTTGTTACATTTTACATTTTTGCTTATAGTTGTTTAGTGGGAAATCCCCACTTAACTGCTAAAATTTAGATGGTTGCTCCCCTTCCAACGTCAACCAAACGGGAAGCTGAGAATCAGAAGATCTTTTGTAGACCCCCTTCTTCCGAGCGTGCAGGACCCGCAAGAGATGGACGAGAAGGAGCCGGGACCTTAGGTCCTGAGACCGGGGTCGATCGACTCATGAGGCGCTTCCCGATGCGGTTCCTTAGGCCCCCCCTGCCCGACCTCTCACCGTTCCTTTTTTGGTTGGGAGATTCGGTTCCCCTACGAAAATCGACGGCAGAACAAATTGAAACGGTGGCCTTGGTCTAACCTCTCTACCGGAGGACCTATTTGTTGGTGTTTTGTGGTTTCCACCAAACCCGCTAAGAGTTGGACGTTTAGGGGCTCAGCTCGGACAGCCCATGGAACCTCACTGCTTGCGTTTTGGCAAGCACGTCTTTGGGTCGGGAGTGTGGATCATGCGATTAGCGTTCAAGCTGACTTAATGCACAGAATCTCGGCAGAACCTGTTTTTTTGGTTGCGGTTCTGGGTTGCGACTGCACAGGCCAACTTCGGAAGCCGATTCTGAAGAGGAACCTGCGCGTTTTTCATGTTCATTGCCCAGAATTTCCTTGGCCATTAAGTAAATGTCCTTGGGACAACGGACATTTTTTGCTCGAGAAGGGACATTTTTCGCATCCACTATGGGGGGCAATTTATTCGAGTGCTCTGATCAGGGCAAATTGACACCATAGACAAACCATAGGCCATAGACATACCATTGACATACCATAGACATACCACTGGCAAAACAGTCGGAAAACCATAGGTAAGTGCTACGAAAAGTAAGGTGTAAGTCAGGGGTACTTGATTCCGCAGAAGGGGAAACGCGTTTCAAAGTCAGGGTATTCACATCAGGTCGAGTCGTAAAGCCGAAATTTGTTGAGCTCGTTGCTTGCGACCGAAAAGGACCGTAGACAAACTGTAGACAACCCGTAGAAAGTACATTTTCTGCCGTAGAAAGTACATTTTCTGCCGTAGAACGGCCATTTATTGCCGTAGAAAAGACATTTTCTGCACACCCCGTTTTTGCACTATTTCGTTGTCAATTCGCGGCACGTGTCTTCTCAGGCCTTTGTTGCTCTTTTCTGGCTTGGCAATGGGGCAATGAAAGACTTGTGTGCCAAATATGCATGCATGGATTGATGTATGTATGCTGGACCAGTACATGCATATATCAAGTAAAGAGTTCCCGAGCCCTGCCCCAGGGCTGACGTTGGCAAGTTTCTGCAGAAGGCAGCCCTGCGAAGTGCACGAAGCACTCTCAAGCCCGGCAAAACGAGACTGTGCAGCCCCTTCCGGCTACTTGTAAATAGGATTTTCGTGAAAATCATGATCCGACCTAATTGAAGCAAACAATTGCATTTTCCCAGAACATGTACTTTACCACCTCGGCCATTTATTTAATGTTGTTTGGAAGTCTAGGGATTGGTTAGGTGATCCTCTGATTTAGAGCCTAAGGGGAGGCGTAGATTTTTTTGCGGCCGGGCGCAGAAGCTTTCGGGCCGTCGGAGCCCTTATGGCTTTTCCGGGCTTGCCAGAGCTCAGGAGTATGCTCTTCACCGACCTTTTGCGACTCGGCTCGGCTTGCACGCTCAGTTTCCGGGTTTCTTCTGGGTTCCTGGGTGGTTCACTGGTGGCCCCAAAACAGCCTAGTTGAACGGAGTTTGGCCTGGCGTGGGGTGGTGATGAAATGGGACAAGGAGCCTGGTTGCCGGCGGACACTTTTCAAATTCTGAGGTCGGCAACCTAGTTGACTTGGGATTGTCAGGACTTCTGCTGGGGGAACCATGGACGTGGCCCCAAGGAGCATCACAGCCGTGATTTTCAGCAGCTTGGGCCTCTGCCAAAGTCAATGTCAGATATATGTTATAGTGAAGGGGCCTCCCCTCCTGTTGGTTTCCATTTAAACCGATCTGAATAAGGATACCAGCCATATGTGATGTAGCTGGGGAACCCCTCAAAAGTAGTCTCATCCCAACCTCAAATGTCCACCAAAGGGCTCGCCATATTTGTCTCAATATAGGGACCCCCCCCAAAAAAAACCACCAAAAAAACAAGTGGTGTCCGGTGTCCCTTTGGTTTTCCTTTCAAACCACCCCCGACTGCCGCTCCGAGCTCCCCGGCCGGGCTCCGCTTGGCAGGTGGGCGGACCCCAACTCGGGCACAGGCCTCGGGGGCTCGCAGCGGGGCGGCAGTCTGGCCACCTTCGGGTCCGACATCACCCAGCGCTTCCTGCAGTCGACCATCCTCGGCAAAAATTGGGGCTGGGGGTAGGTTTGGTTGGGGGGTTTAGTTGGGGGATTTGGGGGGGCCAGGGCGCTTAGGTTTGGTTGGGGGGGTTGATTGGGGGGTTTGGGGGGGGGGGGGGGGCAGGGGGCTAAGTGGGGGTGTTTTTTTTTTTGGAGGGTTTGAGGCGGGTTGTGGCTTCAGGCTGTGTTCGAGCGGGCGAGAACATGCGAACACTGGCTTTTTGAGTGTTTTGGTTTTCTGGCTTCTTAGCGCTGTTTCTGAATCGTCATGTCACTTCTGCGTGTTCCCTGCTTGTTTCAATTTGGGTAAGGATCAAAATCCAACCTTCAGGGCATCGCAGGTTTTAGTCCGTATCCAACTACCAGGGTTCCATGTTGGGTACCTATTTTTGACCCCACACCCATGCCTTAGTTTCTACAGTGTGCTTCTCTTGGGGTGACCGAACATATTGTTGTTTAACGGACATGCCTGTTTCCGACCACTAGCTACAATGACCACAGACTAACCCCTGACGGCTACAGGGTGAAGTTTTCCATGGTCAAGGGCAACTTGTTGCAAGGAGTCCAAGTCTCATGTGTTGGTCGGACCCACACTCACACTTTCATAACCTTCACCTTGAGGCGGGGCTCCAAACGTCTTTGGACTTTTTGCTTCCTACCTCCCCGAATGCGAGCGGGGTAGCGGGCAGAGGTACATGTGCGTTTCCACTACCAAACCTGCCCAAGTTGCAAAACAGTTACCAGTTTCCTTTCTAAAGGTGGCTTTTTTGTGGTTCAAGGTGGCATTTTTGTTGAGCCCCTTGGATGCTTGTTGAAACGGGCGGCTCCCGACCGGGCTGAGGAACGACCTGAGTTTGGTGATCCGGTCCCATGAGTGCAAGGATCGACTTCGAATGGGTTTGGTCTTTGAGTCGGGGAGCCTTTTGCACAGGGCGGACACCACAAGGAAAATCAACCAATTTGCGGAGGTGCCATGCCACACCTTACCCTCCCGACGATCGAACTCAGGGCCGGTTCTTTTTGAGTGAGTTGGGGCCCATGGGGGGGGTTTGGACAGGAAACAAAGGGCCCAGTAGATTTTGGGAGCTGGGCAGCTGGGTGAAGAAATCAGAGCCCAGGTGTATCAATGCGTTGTATTTTTGATCCGGCAAAACCCTGTTCAGAGGGAATCGGAGCAGTTCACGTGTCTTTTCTGTTCTTTTCTTGTTTTTGTTGGGGGTGGAGGGGAGTTTTACTCCTTAATCCATCAAGTTGACCAATATGGGGTCAACATGATAATGGAATGTTTCTCAGAATCCGGCACCCCTTCTGTTGGTTTACTTGTGGTTTCTTTTTGAAAGAAAGATGCGTCAGGAGTCAACGCCCCTCTATTCACCCTGTGTTTTGCCGTTCACATCGCAACTTCAAAAAGTGTTGTTTGCTTGAGCCACAATGTGAGTGTGTTCCTTGAAACCAACCAACTAAAAAGAGCGTCCTTCCTTCCCATTCCCAGGTCTTCTTGAAAGGGGATATCCGAAATCCAAGCCACTTCAAGCAACCAATGTTATATTGCATTTTAAGGCTGGCAATCATGATCGGTGATTCGGAATTTGAACCTGCAGTTTGCTGTGTACCCTGGAAATGGTGTATTTTGCCTATTTATGGCGCGCTCAGCGTGGGTGTATAAGTTCAAAGATAGACCCCAGGAGCGCCGACGCCCCACTTGGTCGGCAAGAACGGACCTCGCAACACACACACACACACACACACACACACCCTCCCGCACAGACCCCACAACGGGCCAGGGTCTGGGGTGTTACTCCTTTCCTGTGCGGGGCCAAGTTTTCGGGGTGTTGAGAGGACAACGGCTTTGAGTGGGCGCACGACAAGCGATGTCTCACGGTCTTCTCCGCCCCGAACTACTGCTGCGTCCTCGGATCCAGTCGAACCCATCGTTCTACGTGCGTAGAAGCGCAAAATTCAGCCGAAGGCCTTTTCACCAGCCGAAGCGCCTAGATGTGTGTGTGTGTGTGTGTGAAAGTGTGAAGCTTTCTGGCACCCATTTCTCCCAGCGAAGCCCCCTATCAGCCTCCAAGGCGGCAGCTTTCCGGGGCTTTTTTTTAGGGGGGGAGGGGAGCAGAAAACTGGCTTTGGTTTTTTGAGGGTCGAAACAATCGCAGACCCTTTCTGGGGCTGAGGGAGTTCACAAAAAGACGGCCCTGAGGCTCATATGGGGACCATGGCTGGTACCGTGTGGTCTGAATGCCCGGCTTAGGCGACGAGGTAGGGAACCAGGGCGCGGTGATCCGGCTTCGGGCTCAGGATTCCCCAGGCGCATGCTCGTGATTTGTGTAGAATTGGCGCTCGTGAGGTTCGAACATGTTTGGTCCATCAAGGGCCACCCGGCTCGATCGGACAGGTATGGACGTCGAGGTGCGGCAGTTCGGGGAAGCCAAGAAGCCCAAGAACTATGTGGGGTGCATGGCCTACGCCAGCAACACACCTGGGCTCCTGGCCTCCAAAAAATGCGTTCGGTCTCCTCCAAACGTGTTGTTTTTTGTTTTAAGGAAGCATAGTGTTTGTTTGTTCAATATGTTAGACAAAGAAAATGGCTCCAAAGTGTGTTTTGTCAAAAAGGAACAACAAACACATAGCGTGTTTCTTTTCAATATGACTCCAAAGTTTCTTGTGTTAAAGAAACACAGCGTTTGTTTTTCAATACAGTCGACAAGGAAGATGGTTCCAAAGTGTTCTTGTTTAAAAGAAATATAGTGTTTATCTTTGCAATGTGTTTGACAACGAAAATGGATCCAAAGTGTTTCTGTTTAAAAGAATAGTACTGTTTGTATTTTCAATATAGTCGACAAAAATGGCTCCGACATATTTGTGTGTTAAAGAAAATAGTGTTTGTCGTTTCAATATGTGAGAGAAAGGCGATGGCTCCAAAGTTGTTTCTGTTTCAATCAAGAACAAGGTTTGTCTTTTCAATATGTGAGACAAAGCACATGGCTCCAAAATTTGTTTGTTTTAAAGACAATTAGCGTTTGTCTTTTCATGGCTCCAAAGTTGTGTTCGTTTTGAAGAATAATCGCGTTTGTCTTTTCAATATGTTAGACACAGATAATGGCTCCAACGTGTTGTTTTGTTTTAGAGAAACATAGCGTTTGTTTTGTTCAATATTTCAGACAAAGAACACGGCTCCAAAGTTGTTAGTTTGTTGTTTAAACGAAAGATAGCAATTGTTTTTAAATGTGTTAGACAAAGAACATGGACAGACATACTATGAGACGACAGAGCATCTTAGTTTGGCCCACATGTGTCCAAGTTGCTGGGACAGAAGCACCGGGTTCCCTGACAGGTGGCTAGTTTGGGCAACTTATTTGAGTGTCCGAGAGGGTAAGACAAGCTCCCCTGTGATGAAGGTGTTGCGTGGAATAACTTGTGCCAGTTGCGTGGGTTCAGTAGCAGGTTCAACAACAAAGAGCTTGATTGAGCTCTCGTTTGAAAAGTGTAACTTGAATATGCCCTGTGTAACAGTTTGCCCACTTGGCAAACAGGGTTTTGAATCCTTCTGATCCTTTGAATGCAGAGGGAGGGTAGAAGTGAGACAGCAAGACTCTGCCCTTCAGATAAAGCTGAAGATCCTATGCTTAACCCCCCTCCCTCAAGCACCAATTGGCCCAAGTAACCCTAATTAGGCATTTGGCACTCCCTATTGGGATCGGCCGTCCTCCTTGGTAGGAAGGTCAAAGCGCCCTAAACCTTTGCCAAGCAATTTCAGGAGGCCAAAGTAAGGATTCCGAATGAGACAACCATGAGCCTCGCCCACAGCATCTGTGACCATGGCCCAGGTGCCATCCCGCCCTAAGCAATGTGGACATGTTTGGGTGTGTCTTTTTCTTTGGGAACATCAGTAGTTGTCCTTTTGGATTCCCTTGAACAGGGCGCATCCAGCCCCAAGACACTGGCGCCAGTTCGGTCATTTGCAGTCCAGTTTGCTCCCTGGAACATGTTGGGCACTCTCCACAAAGCACATACCCGTTTGGAGAGACATCGTGCCACTTTGCCCTAAGGCTGATCCGGAAAGCAATGGAGAAGGCTCTTGGATGAATGTCTTCCTTCAGGCTTTGGAATTGAATATACATATGGCTGTGGCTCAAAAACATGTACCAGCATGGCCCCCTTGGCAAATGGAGCCAAAGACTAAAACCTGTATGGCATGTCCCATCCAAAACAAGGCGGCCTATTGCTTTTGCAAGATGTGGGCGGTGGTTCTTCTTTTGAGTTGGCACGTTACCCTTGGGATTGTTTTCAACTTTGACACCCATTTTGAGGGGGGAGGGCCCTATTTTGACCCACACCCACGTGCAAAGGATGTTCTTTGACAAAGATTAACGCAGCCAGTGGAACACGTAGTTGGAACCCACTGGCCACCCCAGCAGGCACCGAATTCGGCGCTAAAAAACGAGTGCCAGCGCCCGGCCAACGAGTGGCTCAGCGGCCATGCTTTGTGTTCTGGCATTCGCGGCAGGCGAAGGAAAGCAGGGACTCACTTCGAGGCTTGTTTTTCGGGCCTGTGATATGACCAACTAGGAAATTGCAATTACATTGCGAACAGAATTGTCGGTTTGGAAGGTCATTTTTCTTTTTCTTTTTTGCCAGAATGGATGTGGATTCGGGGTGTTCGGGGGGCCTACTGTTGGGTGGAGGGCAACGAACCGCAATTTTGGACGCTGTCTCCAATTTTAAGAATCCCACATCTGAGCAGACCGTCTAGTGGCGAGGCCCACAGGAAATAGAATCGCCCCAGAAAAGGTGTCCAATTATGGTTGTACTTTTCGGGCTGGTTATTGGGAAAAAGTTCCCTTGAGTGAACATGTAAAAACCGGCCCTCCTAAACGGTTTCAAGCATGGTTCGGGGAAGGCTGTTTTGCAAGGGCATGTGGCCTAGTTGAGCTTCTTTTGGCCAGACTGTGCCGACATGCGCTGAGTTAAATTTTGAAAACGAAGCGCGGGCCGCATTTACAGACGGTTGTGCAGAAGGCCTTTGCGGATGAGGAATGCGATCGGCGGTTGAAAAGGAGCACTTGCCGCTTAGGAGCTACGAGAGGGGGGCAGGCAATCAGTCACGATCTACTCACTCTCTGTGAAGACGTGCTGCCCCCACAGTGCGCGCAAAGAACACCGAATCTGAATCAGTCTGGGCCGTTTTGCTGGGTGTTTGGTGGACCTTTGACCGGCAAGCGCAGGCCTGCCGTTTTGCTGGGTGTTTGGTGGACCTTTGACCGGCAAGCGCAGGCCTGCCTTGTTCAAATAACTATTTTGTACGACGGGACAGGCGGCGTGGTCAGCTAAAGCACCACATTTGCCTCACGCATAGTAGTTTGGAAATGCCCTGCACCGGCGCGGTTAGCACTGCCTTGGAGTTCAGCGCTGACAAAAATGCAGGTCAGAGCCTGGCATTTGCTGAAATTATACATCCTTGCTGGCAAAGAAGGTTACAATCGATGCCAACAGAAACCGGGAAGAAACTTGAGCCAAAGCAGCCTTGAACCAAAATGGCTACGGAACTGAGGGAGAGGAAGGAGATGAGGGAGATGAAAGAGAACATGAGAGTTTGTGGGAAACGCACATGGAGAAAACGATGCCATTTCTTCAGTCTAATTTGGAAACAGAAAATGTGATCCAGGCCCGGCAGGTTCTAACCAAAGGCAGAGCAGCTGTACCGCCCTTTCGCCGTTGCTCAAATCCGAAAAGTTCGAAGCGAGTTCGCTTCAAAAACTCCATCCGTGCATCGACCAACTCGCCATGGCCACTTGGCTGCCCTTTAGCGCTCAGAGTCTAGCACGGCTTGCAACCCAAAATCTGCCCAAACAGCACTTCTTTCACATTCTTTCAGCAAACCAATCGTTCCAGGGTCTCTTTGCTGCGAGATGAGGATTTCGCAGCCATCCACTGTATGACCATCTCTGTTTTGTGGGTTTTTGATGAAAAAACTCCCAGGTTGAAACCCATCTCTTTGACCAACCTACCCTTTGATCTCCCACTGGCCTCGCAAGCTGCGAGGCCTCCAAGTTCACTCTGGGCCTCTCCGCCGCCGCGCTCGGCTCGGTGGCCTTTGTGGCCCCCGGCTTGAAGAGCGAGACCAGCACGGAGGCGAGGCCCCGGTCCAGCCGTGGGGCTTTTTTTTTATGCATATATATATATATATATATGTATATGTTTTCTCAAGGGTACCTTTGGCCTCTTTGTTTGGGTGGGTTTTACGGGGAAAGCGACCATGATTTCCACTTCCAAAGGCTCCAAAAAACATCCAACCGGACCTAGGTGACCATATGGGCCTCTCATTTTTGTGGTTGGTACCCATGTTTTGCCAAAAGGAAAAATCATATTTTTAGGGGTCTCTTTTTTTGATGGTTCAAACCTGGTCACGTCCCATATTCTGCACCGCTTCGTATTACAGAATAATTCGAATTAACCGCTTCTAAACCGCTTCGCTGATGAGACAGACCCAAATAGTACACCACGCGAAGGAGATAAGGGCTGAACCAAACCAGAAATCTTCCCAGGAATTAGCTCCCCTTTTAACGTTTTGTATTTTTGGGGTCCCGTTTGTTTTCCACTAACCGGCAAGACACATCTTTTTTTTGCTGGGGTCCCAATTTTCCAGCGGCAATGGTGTCATCTTTTCCGGATCTTGTCCTACTGGGGTCATTATTTTTACCGTTTCTAGGGGTTACCAAAGTCAGAAAATCGGGTGGCTTTCCTTCAACCCATCACTTAGGGGGTGCTTTGATGGCAAAATACAGAGGCCAGTCCTACCCACTCAGATTGCCAGGTGGCAGCTGGCCAGCGCTTCCTCGCTGCTTCCGCTGCTTCCCCCGCCGCCGGTTCCGGCGCCGCTGGTTCCGCGGCCCAGGGCCTCGGCGGCGCGCTGGCGGTGGGGGGCCTCAGCGTGGCGGCGCTGCGCGGCGCCGCGGCGGCCTCCCGCCGCAAGGCGCGGGGGCGCGGGGGGAGGTGGGGTGATGGGATTGTTGCGACTTATGTGGGGGCTGAACAACAGGTCTGTAGATTGCTTGGAAAACCCACTAGAAAGATGAGCTTTTTAAGACATACTTATGTGGCTGTGGGTCAAAACCAATGGTACCATTTCGGGGTAGGTGCACCACCCATTTTAGTCTATTTTAGGGGCTTTTGACCCATGGCAGATGTGGGGGTGGATCAACCGGTCTGCAAGACATGGGATGACTCATTTCTCGGAAAGCCCACTGGACAGCTGCTTTCTTTTTTTTTGCGACCCTCAGAAACATACACACACCGGTGGCCAAAATAAGTAGATCCATGGCTCGGAAAACATGGTTTTAGAGAAGGGAACCCCCGAAGTGATGAAGTAGTCATGGGGATGTCCTACTTTAGTATCCCCAAAGGCCTATTTCCCGCAACCATGACGAGCTCCACAGCTTGGACCAGCTGGCAGGTGGTTTTTCCCTGCATTCATATCACAAATCCTCCACCCCAAGCTGGTGCCGCAAGATCGCCCTGTCGGATTTTGGTCCATCAGCGGTAGTTTTCGGTCGTCAGCTGCTTCAGCCAGGGCGTGCAGCCTCGGGCAGCCCAGAAGGTGGTGGCATGCCGTTCGCTGGCCAAGCTGAAGATCGATGAGGTGGACCTGAAGGAGACAAACTTCGTGTGATTCCATTTCCCTTGCTGGTGCGTTAGGTAGGGAAAGGAATCCCGAGTTGCCGAGTTGCCTGGGAATGAAAAAAATACGGGTTTTGGGGGGAATCCCGAATGGAGAGGAAGATCGCGAATCGAGGATGGTTTTTTCGGCGTCAAGTGCCTCATTCCCTGCAAAAAGAGCCAGCAAGAAGAGTCCCACCAATTTGGCAGTGGCTCAAAATTAAAGAGCTAGGGTCACGCAGGTTTTGGTCCATGTTTCCACTTACCAGGGTTCCATTTTGGTACCGGTTTTTTGAGCCATACCCCTTTAACATGGAGCCTGACTTAAGAGGGGTCCTGGTTTCGACAAAATGTTCCTTTTTACTCGGACCGAGTCGCTGTCAATTTCGCATGGTAGTTTGGGGGACAGTATCAGTCCAGTGATTTTTCTTTTCTCTAGGCGACCAAGGCTGGTTAAAATTCACGATAGTGGCTTGCCAGGGATCTGGTTGCCTAGCCCTTGCTTTGCGGAGTTAAGCTTTCAAGAAGGTTTGTAAGGTCCTTCCAAAAGGCTGGGCAGCTCAGAGGTGGATATCCTGTTCAAAAGTTGCCATTGACTGATAGGTTTCGATGAACTTGGAGGCCCCCCCCCAAAAACTGACGGGTTGGACTTGTGCAGGGAACCTGGGTTTGTGAGCGTGGCCCTTTTACGCATGGGCCATTCTTAGACCATTTGAGTTTTGTTAGATCCATTTTAGCTGTTGAGCTGTGGTTGTAACCCTCGAAAGACTGCTCGAAAGCAGGTCAAGCAAGCAGAACATTGTCTCCAGGTCTACTTCGTTTTAGGCGCCTGAACGCTTGAATCCGCTTCGCATTCGCTTCGAGGATCCTTTTCGGATGCCTTCAGAACCCAGGGGAAATGGGGTGGTTTCTCAGAAAAGAACGGATACGTGAACACACCTTTCCATGGTCCCCAATCCCAATAAGGGCTAATAGGCGCCTACTAGTGCCCAAGGTCTTATGGTCTGGTTTGTGGGCCCTTGCTTCCTGGAAGGGAAGGGCGTTCGGGACGCACCAAAGCCGTTTTTAGTATGTTTCAACTTTTGCCTTTTGCCTGTCAGTTGAAAGCAATTCCAACTTTTTCCGTGGCCAGACAAATGCCACAACTTTTGCCCCAGAAAAATGGTCAACCTCCTTTTGCAGTAAAAGTTTTCTCGTTGGGGGAACCCTATCCGAGGTGAAAAAACTTGAAATGCAGTGAAGTCGTCTTTTGCCGACCGCTCGCGGTTCTAGGACAAGCGCGTCTTCATTCGCGTGGACTTCAACGTGCCGCAGGACAAGAAGGACTTCGGGGTCCGGCCGACGCCACCTTTGGCATGGCGACCGCCGGTTTGGACAGCCATTGTTTTGGTTCCTTTTTCAACATGTCTAAGCCGCTATTGTTTAAACAACCATTTTGTTGCTTTCTTTTTATCAGTACAAGTTTATCCGTTTTTGGAATTCCTTTTTAGACATGATGAAGGCACTTGTTTTTGAACAACCCTTTTCCGATTCCTTTCTTGATTCATCTTTAAGCCAGTATTTCTTGAACAAGACTGTTTGGTTTCTTTTTCAGCACTTTTAGACGGCTATCGTTTCACCCATCTTCTTTTTGGGTTGACTCTTGACATGTTCAAGAACCAGCTATTGTTGGTTAGCCAGCCTTTTGAATCGCTAGTTCGAATCGCCAAATGTGCTTCTCGCTCATTTCAGGACCCCAACATCATCACGAACACCGCGCGCATCGACGCGGCCCTGCCCACCATCAAGTATCTCGCCTGTTCGTGTAAGTGAAGGGGGGGGTTGTCCTGCAAAATCCACAA